CCATTTACTCATTTCAATAACTTTACGGTAACGGAGCGGCCACTGACACAAGCTCGCAGTTTAATAGAAATTTTGTATATGATAATGACTTAGATGCTGAGTTTTATTCTGGATTAGAAGTTAAAATTGCAGTTTTTGCTCAAAATAATTCAAAAAGTCCGGGACTGATAACCTTATAGCGGAAGTTTTTAAACACTCATTTGACATAATTTCTCCATTTCTTGCTGTTTAACCCATTACTTCATGAGCATTTTGTGAAAAATGGTTGTTTTCATTGAAAAGTCTCGTGTTACAAGTTCAAATTGCTATAAAACTTTAAAAACTGCTTCAATACTAATCAAACTAATCAAGCACAAGTGTTGACTAGACCATTTTCTTTGCAACAACATGCTCAGGCTTAAATTTTCTGATACCATGGCAACAAGGGGACATCTCAAAATTGCCAAAAATCACTAGTTTGCGTTTACTTCTTCTTCAAAATTGATTTCAAAGTGCTGGCAACTTCTCAATGGATTGAGATAGAGTCAAATGCTTTTCAGCGTTAGTTACACGTTACCTTATGATTGATCTGGGGTCATTTTTAGCCTCTCACAAGTCGAAAATTTTCTTGGCAATGAGGGGGACTGCCGCCCACTTCAAACCCCCCCAAACAGAAGAGAGCACATCCCCCTTCTTGCAACCCCCTGATGTATCTTTTGGTTGGGGGCCGCGCCGAAAAAGTGGTCACTTTTTTAAACAACATTTCTCAAACAAAAACAAGTGTTGGGGCCTAAATAAGGTATTTTTTCACCATCTGAGACAACAAAAAGGGGGTGAAAAGGGCGTTAAAAAGTGTGTATATCGCGTAATGGGTTAATGAAATTTTATTAACGGAATGTTTCCAGAAAGTTGGACACAAGGCATAATCGTTCCCATATTCAAAGCAGACAATCCGGAGGCTAAGAATAAGAGGAATTACATTAAATAAAATATATGTAGCCTTTCTCGACTGGGAAATATGCTAGACAGAATTGATAGAGTTTGCTTGTAGCAGAAACTTATGAATGCAAATGTAAGCACAAAATTTGTATAGGCTATAATGTCAATGTACTCAACGGTTAAATCGTTTGTAAGGTATAATTCGACTAACTCTAACTTTATAAATTTAAACGTTGGAGTGAATCAAGGTGATCCCGCCAGCAGCATTTTGTGTCTCTTCTTTCTAAACGACATACATGTAGTTAATAATGTTAATACAGACATTATTGGAATATTGAACATTGGCGACATTCATATATTTTTATTACTGTTTGCCGTTTACGCAGTTTTATTTGCTCACGATCCAAACTCCCTACAGTCCATGTTGAACGACATTATTATTTGTCAAACGCTCTACAAATTAAGAAGCTCTTTATGGCGAATAAGCTAGAATCCCGATGGACATTCATAGACAATTAATTATGGTAAAATATTGGATAAAATTATTGACATGTAAGAAACAATCGCTTCTTTTCAAAACCTATAACATGCTTAAAGTCGATTTTGAAGGAAACAATAAATATAAAAATTGTAATTGTGCTAATCAAATTAAAATTATACTTGATAAATGCGGACTTTCGTAAATTTGGCAAAACCAATTTAGCATGTTAATTGACTACAATATCATTAAACGACGCATATAAGATATTTTTGTGCTCCTTGAAAAACACATGTCTTCTGCGTATAGATATGTTTGTTTGTTTGTTTCATTTTTACGTCTTTTCCCAACAGTACAAGACTACCTTCCTCCGTGCTCAACTACCAAAGCATCTCCCGGGGATCGAACCCACGCCAGAGAGGTACCGTATACGTACTTTTTTTCTGCGGGATTTTTATGTCTGCTATTTATGCGGTTCTTAAGGACACCGCAGATTTAAAAAACGCAGAAAATTAAGCCTTTCACTATGTCTATGTCGGAATATGTCAACTACCGGTATTGTATAATTACATTAACATGTTCTGTTATCGGTTTTGTAGATGAGAAGTTTTCTTATGTGTCCGTCATGGATAGAATATTAGAAAAAATGTTACTTTACTTGTTTTTTTTGTTTAATAAATATCATGTTTGTATGATTTTCGCTCACCCTAAGCTTGATTTTTTTTTGTAAAATAAGACTATTATAGTTTGACGCATGCAATAAACATACCCTTTTGTATTTGTACAATATCTAGTGTCTACGTGCGATTTTACCATTGTTTATTTTTCACACTTTAATTTATACACATGCAGTATTACAATTAATTGTTGTCATTGCACGTTGTTAATTTTTGTGTATTAATGTTTATATACTGATACATGATGATTACGATAAAACACATTAGAAGTCGCCTGCATGTTTACCGGAAGTAATGTACATGTTACATCAACACATCTTGAAATGTTGTCTGTTTGTATCCGTTAATTTTTTAAAAATATCTCAATTAAACTGCAGAAATAAAAAACATCAATGCGAGAATGATAACACCGCAGAAATAACATACGCAGTAATTTAAAACCCCTTATTTTAACAGAAATCGCTGAATATTAAGCCTGCAGAAATAAGTACTTATACGGTAACTGGATTAGAACTCATCGACTCTAACCCCCGACTACGGACGCGGTGTATAGATATGTTGTTGTATGTGCTATAAACATATATTGTACCAGGGAGGCGGTGTATAGATATGTTGTTGTATGTGCTATAAACATATATTGTACCAGGGAGGCGGTGTATAGATATGTTGTTGTATGTGCTATAAACATATATTGTACCAGGGAGGCGGTGTATAGATATGTTGTTGTATGTGCTATAAACATATATTGTACCAGGGAGGCGGTGTATAGATATGTTGTTGTATGTGCTATAAACATATATTGTACCAGGGAGGCGGTGTATAGATATGTTGTTGTATGTGCTATAAGCATATATTGTATGTTTAACGCAATTAAATTATTTGAGTTTGAGTTTAATACAGTTTTAAAAGTTAAAAGATTATCTAAATCTTTATTTCAACAAATAATGCCAAAATCATTTAAGACAAATATATAATTATAACATAAACTTCGTATTCCAACTGAAACATCATTTCTAAATAAATGAATTAGAAAAAAACTTTAAACAACTTTCGTCATTAATATATTTGTACAATGACTGACCATTTTACGGAAGCTAATTTAGGCCGTTTTGAGTTAGAAGTTAAAAGGCAACAATTCAAACTTATTGTTTGATCTTAAAACTCAAATCTTAAAACTTAAGTCTTAGTTCTTAGAACTTAGAGGTTCCGTAAATGAGGTAAAACGCCATATTGACTGCAAGATAAACCTTAAGATGTATGTGAGGTCTGTACAGAATGTTCGAGGTAAGGTACGTACTGCTTGATATTATTTTTTTTAAAATAATAACTGGTCTGTTTATGCTACATTTTTGTTTCTCAGTGTGACTTTACCACATAGTACTACTAAGCATCTCTGAGACAAGAAATAAAACAGTTTTTGTGAAACATTTGAAATGACGTCAAATACCAAAATTTATGGTCAAACTGTCAGTCATAGAATATTATTGACAGAAAAGATTATCATAAAGTTAAATATGATCTCTATTTATAAGTTTTTAAACTGACAATTATGTTCTTACTAAATATAAACAAGATAGTAAATGTGCTAAGACACATGATATATCACCATTCAGAATTATGGGAGGGTGTACATTGGGTGGGTTTACAAAAGACTGACTTCTTGGGGGATTTTGACTTTTTATCAAATTGTCTTGGTGTAAAAATGGCACCAATAATTAGGCTATACACATAATTTAATAATCGACAATGCACTTTGCATCATTTATCATTTATCTTGACTTGTACTCTCTTTCAAATATTTTTGCTGTTTTCTTCACAGGTTAAAGTAATAAGAAGAACTTTGTGGTGTTTTCCTGGAATTATGTTGTATTATTCATTAGGATATATTGGAAATATTCAGGCTATCTGAGTTGTGTTTAAATGTAAACGTGATGTTAAATCGACTTTAAAGCCAGCCGTTGTTTCCTTGAGCAAGAAACTTTACACTCATTGCTCAGTACTGGTTTGTTCCAGGAACTGATTCGAGAGTGTGTCTAAAAGCTTATAGCTTCCTACACAATCGAACTAAAATAAATTCTGTATAAACCATAGCTAAAACTGTAATTTTATGCATCATGTAATATTGTCTTAGTCACTTGTCGTTAAAATATTACTTTTAGACAATCAACTCACTCAAACATACACAGATTTATGCTTAAGTCTGTGAAGTTAACATGTAGGAAAACATAGCTTCTGGGAGTGTAAGATCAACTTAATTTGATTGATTTTAATTTATCTTCATTCAAACAGTAACAGACCACATTTTATTTAATGTATGATACGACATCGAATTCCCAAATATTCTTTTACTATTTTAAGTAAGTTTTGTGATAATTACGTGCATGTACGACTCACTTAAACAAACAAACATTTCAAAACTTCATTATTTCATATCTGATATTTAAACTGGATTCTTATATCAGTATATAAGAACAAATAATTTGATAATAAATGTAAGATATATTACTTTGCTCAAACGCCATCCCGATATAACTATAAAATATGATAATTATAACATAAGAATTTTGCTATTATATACTTTTGATTCTTCGGAATGAACATCATATCAGTTATAAGTATTCTTCATTCTGTTTAAAATAGTATTATCTGAATAATTACTGTTGTTCTACTACATAATTAATAAAATCAAATAATATATTTTACTACAGATTTCAAAATGGATAAGAAACGAAAGTTGTTATAGACTTTTACTGTTCATGATGTGGTTAAAGTAATACAAGTATATTGTATAGATAGCTGCGTATAAACGAAGACATTTGCGACCTCACATTGAATGCTATCTTGATCATCATATTGTATGTTTGTTATTTATCTCCTTGGATGATAAATTCCATGAGATTTGACTGACAATGAAAGCAAGACACAAATAACAGATATATTACTTTTTATTACATAACATTTCTTATACATAATATACATAAATACAAATAGCAAGGTTTTTATTCAAACATATTGCACGGTTCGGATAAATATCATTAAAATAGTAAAGTCTGCTGTGTTAATGAACAGTAATTAAGGCTTTACTTAAATCCATATATTTACAAAATATGATAAACAAGATCGACAAGGAAAGGCGGCATTCAATGAACGCAGCTTAACTAATAAAACATCTGATTAAAGAACTTCTCTATACATCTATATACATATATACAATACATATAACAATAATATTTCCTAAACAATTATTGTTTTCTTTTGCAAAATAATAAAAGTGCTCTTTTTAAGACTGTTTTCATTTAAATATGAAATAAAAAAATAAAAAAAATCATTGTTAACTTTTACTTTTTGTTATTTTGTTGTTGTTTTGTTTGTTCCATATTTTTCTGAGTTAAGAAACAACAGAGGTATCTCATACTATTATTTAATTTGAAGGTCTTCGGTGGATCAATATCGATGGTTTGATTGAACAGTCTTGATTGGGAACAGACTAGTGTCGATACAAAGTGTTGAATTTCAATAGGGTGTTTGACATGACAACAGCATACTCATCCATAGAAAGCATCGCCCCTATATACAGAAAACAATGTAGTAAATAAAAGAAGTTTAAGTATATAATAAGGTCCTTAAACTATGTTTGCATAACAATTTGTAAAACGTTATACAAAAATATAGTATATCACAGTCACACTATCTTTTTAAAACAGGGACTTGAAGTACTTGAAGATAAGATATTGATTTAGCAACTGATTAATATCAAATGAATTGATCCTAAGTGGGCACATACAAGTACTTGTATTTCCGATATTAATTAAAACATTAGACATGTATCATTTGGATATTATGAATTAATACCCCTCACCTTTTTCGTAATGTTAAATTCCCATAGACCTCTGGGAATTATGCTTACTGTTAATGCAAGTGTACCACGTGGCTACGAATTCTGTACTGTTACATAGGTAACAGTACTTTTTAACATTAAAAATCTGGTCACGTGGTCTATTTTCTAAAAAAAATAAAAATAAAATGGCCGCCATTTTTTTCTTGAATCATTCTTATTTTCGACGAAAGGGCATCGCCGAAGTAACTATTACTATAATAAAATTAAGTTCTTTGCACCCTTGAGTCCCTTTAGCGTATTAAATGTCTTGTTGTTGAATAGTCAACAGGAAACATCCGTTTTCAACGGAAGTAATTGTAATGTAAATTATTTTGTGTCAAACTGGAACATGCAGACAATAAGAGCATGCAACAAAGGATAATTTAAAAAATTTAACAAGTGAAACGTTACAGATAGAGTTGTTGGACAGACATCTGTAGGATATCATCGTTATTTTCTAAATGTACTTTGTCAAAAAACCATGCGAAGAATATTCTGGATGCAGAAGGATCAGATTTCACTGATCATAACCTTATAAAGGGTTAGTGTTTTGTTTTCTGAATAAAACACAGCTTATTTTATGTTTATGACTGGTAGATAACATCACTTGCCTAAAGAATAAAAGAAAAACAGCTTCTCAAGTAGGCCTACAGTGCACTTAAAACTTGCAAGGTAAGGACAGTTTAGTTATTGCTTCTTTTGGCTTATTTTTGTTACAGTTAGATTAAGTTGACAAATTCAGATCATTACAGTATTTGTTCGGGGTAATAAGATAAATAACACATGGGTTTGTGGGTAATAGTAAAAATATCATCCCTCGTATAAATACTGTATTTTCCTCGGGATGATATTTTTAACGTTACCACAAACCCATATAATATTACCAGAAATTAAAATTAGGATAAGAGTTCTAACATGATATAGTGCGAACTTAAACATGACGAGTAATTATATGTTGTTCTTGAAAACTTTATTATCTACGTATATCTTGATGTGTCATAAAGGTGATGTATGTTACACATACCAAAAACATCCATATATAATTATTTCGAGATTTGTTTTCACATATTATTATTCTTTCAACATAACTATTTACAGTATTACAGATTTGTTCTTTTTTCTTTACTGGTTTTATGTTTATAATTAATTTTATAGTGAAAGTCATACGACACGAGCGGTGTCGTTTTAAGAGGTAAATTAAACAAGAGGGCCATGATGGCCCTAGATTGCTCACCTGACCCATTAAACTCATCCAAACAATTACATAGACAAGCATTCTGACCAAGTCTCATGACAGGTGAGTCAAAAATGTGACCACTACAGTGTTAACAAGGATTATCCATATTTGAGCAGTGTGACCTAGTTTTTTACCCAGGTGACCCATATTCAAACTTGACCTAGAAATCATCAAAACAAACATTCAGACCAATTTCCAGGATACTTGCATCAAAACAGTAGCAACTAGAGTGTTAACAAGATTTTTATATTTTTAGCTCCGGTGACCTAGTTTCACATGAGATTTCGAACTCATCCGAGCGATTACCTAGACAAGCATCCTGACCAAGTTTGATGATAATTGAGTCGAAAATGTGACCACTAGAATTTTAACTAAGTTTTTCAATATTTGGGCGGTGTGACCTAGTTTTTCATCCAAGATGACTCATGTTCGAACTTGACTTAGAAATCATCAAAACAAACTTTCAGACCAATTTACAGGATATTTGGATTAAAACAGTAGCCACCAGAGTGTTAACAAGATTTTTCTATTTTTAGCTCCTGTGACCTAGTTTTTCATCTGAGATGACCCATGTTCGAACTTATGCAAGCTATCACCTAGACAAGCATCCTGACCAAGTTTGATGATGATTGAGGCAAAAATGTGACTGTTAGTGTGTTAACAAAGTTTTTCTATTTTTAGCTCCTGTGACCTACTTTTTCATCCGAGATGACCCATGTTCGAACTCATCCAAGCTATCACCTAGACAAGCATCCTGACCAAGTTTGATGATGATTGATGAAAAAATGTGATCGTTAAAGTGTTAACACGGTTTTTCTATTTTTAGCTCTGGTGACCTACTTTTTCATCAGAGATGACCCATGTTCGAACTCATCCGAGCTATTACCTAGACAAGCTTCCTGACAAAGTTTGATGATGAGTGATGCCAAAATGTGACCGCTAGAGTGTTAACAACAAAATGTGAACGGACGGACGACGGACGGACGACGGACAATCATCGATCCTAAAAGCTCACCCTGAGCATGCTCAGGTGAGCTAAAAACGTAACAATACAATTACCTGACGGCACAATAGCATGAATAGGCTTGTGGAGTAAAACAACGCCATCATTTTGCCGATGCTTTGATGTTACCTTCACAGGTATATCAGCTGTTTTACACATGACCTTTGGTCCTAGATAAATGATAATAGCATAGACGATAGTTGTTAATTCATATTTCAACAAATTCGTTCAGGAGAGGGTTTTATATAGGCTTAAGCAATTTATGTATTGTAATTTTATAAATATTGAAGAAGAAATAAATTTTGTTTAGGCCAACAAATTCATAATTCATGATTACTTATCTTCAAGGAAGTCCTGTCAAAATGAATGGAATGTAATTGAAACTTAACCATTTGTAAGAAGGGGGATGGATATTTTATTGAATATAAAATAAAGAAGAGGAATGTAGAATATAGCTGTTTAAAATTCTTAATTAATTTGACCACACTTTCCTGTCTCCTTGTAAATGAAAATGTCATTCACTTGTTAATGCTTGTACATTTTCTAAAGAACTGGAGAGGCTCGTTCAGCTTTCAATCTTTGTAATAGGTATGGCCTATTTCCCACGGTGAGCATAAACTCACTTTTTTCGGCCGAAGGGCGGTTTGTTTTCAATTTGACAGGAAAGACGAGTTTTCATTGTTCATTTTAAAATAACAAAGTGAAATCTTGGAATCTCATTGGTCACTCTAAACTAAAATGTAAGGGATAGTTCTTGCCATTCATGAAATAAAATGAAAAGGGAAGTTCTTAAATAAAATGAACAGGATATAACTCTTAACTTTTAGTTAAATTGCTCAGATATTTAAGTTCTGTTTAACAGTACCTCTTGCATTCAGATCTCATTACATTTCTAGTGAACAATTTATTTTACGTGAGAACATACTGAGTTTATTTCACACAAGATTTAAGTTTTAAATTTTGTCCAAAAAACGAGAATAATAGCAGACCTTTTCATGTATTTTAACAATGGTAGGATACTACGTCATCGCGCACCTGCTGAATGCTCCCACTTTGACCATTTTTACGTCGACTCGAAGGTAAAATACAATTTTATCATAAGAAAACGTAAGAGTATAAAAAAATCATGTAGCACACCAAAGACAGGCTATATTACTTGAGATAATTGTAAAAAAAAGTTTATAGATTTATTGCCTGGTTTAGGCCTGAAAACGGGATAAATGTTTTTCTCTGAATGCTCCCACTCGGACTTTTCCCGAAACATATATGAAATAAGGTTGAAAACCTGCTTGAAAATTATTTTTAACGTACCGGAATATAAACCGAGTTATGTTTACACATTTTTCTAGATTAGTTTCAAATATTTCTATTCAAAATTCAGTTTTTTAATTTTTTTTATAAACATTGAAAATGCTCCCACTCGGACTCGATTTCAGAGATGCTCCCACTCGGACCCAAATATATACATTTTGAAAGCACGTTGCTGTGTTAAGTTTTTATGGATTATTTTTACAATTATTACACCATTCAGTCAATAACTACTGTGTTTGGCAACATTAACGTTTTCCTTCTTTTTACGAGATCACTTCTTTGATTCTGAAGAATGACGTCGACGGACAGGAACAAGGTGTCATGGCAAAGTTGCAACTGACAGGATCACTATACAAAAAGGTGCACCTGGCTTGTGTTGGATCCGAAGGGATGATTCAAAATTATTGCCAACAACAAAGCTAGGACTATAAGACTTTAAATGGACAGTTTGGATCTCAAGAATAAAGTTTTGTTTAGATGTTAAAAAAATGGTGGTGTTTTATAAAGAAGTCATTATACATTGTTTAGTACCATACTGGATTAAGATTCTGTTGGACTCGTACACATATTAGAGGCCTGCATTTATTCAATAATTGCTGACTTTAATATCTTGTTAATAATTTAAAACCCAATGATTTGCGTGTTTGTTAAACTTGTGATTTAGATTTTAAAACAACATAATGGTACGTTTATGAACATAAAGAAGTCAATATCTATCGGTTGATTTGAATAGTTTATTAAAGAACAACATGTAAATCATTTTTGTCATGAACTGGTTAAAAAGTCAATGTACTGCCATACCATGGCACATAAAGCATGCATCACAATTATTGACAACTTGGAAATTTTAAGTATGGAAGGTATCATGTGTACGTATTTTTACCTAAAATAACAAAATTAAATTAATAAGAAAACAAAGATCACAGTTATTTCTTTATCACATCACAGTCTTTACCATATCTTGGTAATAGAAGATCCTGATAGTTATATTTCAGGTTGTTACCAATTGAAATTTCAAATATATGTATATAATTATGCTACTGAAACAGTTTTCAAACATTAAGGAATATGAAAAATACGTACTGCATATGATTGTCCACATTATATGTAATCATTAAAATATACATTTATGCATTCATTTCTTATTGAAAAATTCAACTTACACTTAATAGAAAATATATTTCTAATTATCTCCCTTTATGAAATGTAAATTCGGTATTACAAATAATTTAATGCTTTTTGGAACATAAAATATTGATAAATCTTCATTTGACGTTATATTTATGAAATAAAACCATAGGAAAATGAGTTCAAGATATTTAAATGACATTAAAATAATAACAATCATACAAGAAGGAATCAAAGACAGTAAAATCCCCCGCCGAAAAGGAGAAAAAACATTTCATGTTTACCCATTATTCTATATTTGTTTCAAATATTTCTATTCATAAGTCCGTTTTTCTTAATTCTTTTTATAAAAATAGAAAATGCTCCCACTCGGACTCAACTTCAGAGATGCTCCCACTCGGACCTAAATATAGACAAATTTTGAAAGCACATTGCTGTGTTAAGAAATTATCATTTTTTCAAAATATCTTTATATTTACGTTCATATATTCATATAATCAGTTAGAATTCAATGAAACAGCATTTTTAAAATACGATACCAATATTTAGATCACTAAAGTTGTGACATATTTTATCATAACAGTCTCGTAAATATGTCTTCTTTCGGACTAAGAATAAGAAAAAAAGTTGTGTTGAAACAATTCCGCGTTTAATAGAGTCGCTGGAATAAGAAACAAATTTATTATACATTTTGAAAATATAATAACGTTTTGTTTTGCAGATACCAACTGTGAATATATCTCAGTGAGGAAGAATACTCTAGAAAACACAAGAATAATAGTTTTTTGAAGTAATTGTCTTTTGTACAGTTTTTTGCGTTAATTTTTGGACAATGTGTCATAGAGGATCAAGTCATCTGAAATTTCACTGAAGGATTGATTTCAATAAAGTAAAATACCGCAAAGAAGAGTTATTGCTCTTTGTATTCACTATGATTAGTTTGCAAGGACCATACCTCTAAAGGTATTTGAGATATAAACTTGAAACTTTATATTAAACATGTTTAATAGAAGTGAATAGCAGAGCATAAGGACCAGAAGTGTTAACTTAATGCTTCTTTGTTGTTTTTTCTTTGTTTGATTTTTTTTTCATGGGAGTGTTATTTGTGTCATGATTTATTATGTCTAGGCTATAACTTTTCATTAGTTTTCACGAGTGTCATTACTTCGAATTTTAACATGTATGTAAGGGTTACTTCCCCTTATAAATGTTTTTTCTCCTTTTCGGCGGGGGATTTTACTGTCTTTGATTCCTTCTTGTATGATTGTTATTATTTTAATGTCATTTAAATATCTTGAACTCATTTTCCTATGGTTTTATTTCATAAATATAACGTCAAATGAATATTTTTAATATTTTATGTTCCAAAAAGCATTTAATTATTTGTAATACCGAATTTACATTTCATAAAGGGAGATAATTAGAAATATATTTTCTATTAAGTGTAAGTTAATTTTTCAATAAGAAATGAATGCATAAATGTATATTTTAATGATTACATATAATGTGGACAATCATTTGCAGTACGTATTTTTCATATTCCTTAATGTTTGAAAACTGTTTCAGTAGCATAATTATATACATATATTTGAAATTTCAATTGGTAACAACCTGAAATATAACTATCAGGATCTTCTATTACCAAGATATGGTAAAGACTGTGATGTGATAAAGAAATAACTGTGATCTTTGTTTTCTTATTAATTTAATTTTGTTATTTTAGGTAAAAATACGTACACATGATACCTTCCATACTTAAAATTTCCAAGTTGTCAATAATTGTGATGCATGCTTTATATGCCATGGGATGGCAGTACATTGACTTTTTAACCAGTTCATGACAAAAATGATTTACATGTTGTTCTTTAATAAACTATTCAAATCAACCGATAGATATTGACTTCTTTATGTTCATAAACGTACCATTATGTTGTTTTTAAATCTAAATCACAAGTTTAACAAACACGCAAATCATTGGGTTTTAAATTATTAACAAGATATTAAAGTCAGCTATTATTGAATAAATTCAGTCCTCTAATATGTGTACGAGTCCAACAGAATCTTAATCCAGTATGGTACTTAACAATGTATAATGACTTCTTTATAAAACACCACCATTTTTTTAACATCTAAACAAAACTTTATTCTTGAGATCCAAACTGTCCATTTAAAGTCATATTGTCCTTGCTTTGTTGTTGGCAATAATTTTGAATCATCCCTCGGATCCAACACAAGCCAGGTGCACCTTTTTGTATAGTGATCCTGTCAGTTGCAACCTTGCCATGACACCTTGTTCCTGTCCGACGACGTCATTCTTCAGAATCAAAGAAGTGATCTCGTAAAAAGAAGGAAAACGTTAATGTTGCCAAACACAGTAGTTATTGACAGAATGGTGTAATAATTGTAAAAATAATCCATAAAAACTTTACACAGCAACGTGCTTTCAAAATGTATATATTTGGGTCCGAGTGGGAGCATCTCTGAAATCGAGTCCGAGTGGGAGCATTTTCAATTTTTATAAAAAAAAAATTAAAAAACTGAATTTTGAATAGAAATATTTGAAACTAATCTAGAAAAATGTGTAAACATAACTCGGTTTATATTCCGGTACGTTAAAAATAATTTTCAAGAAGGTTTTCAACCTTATTTCATATATGTTTCGGGAAAAGTCCGGGTGGGAGCATTTTGAGAAAAAACACTTATCCCGTTTTCAGGCCTAAACCAGGCAATGAATCTATAAACTTTTTTTACAATTATCTCAAGTACTATAGCCTGTCTTTGGTGCGCTACATGATTTTTTGATACTCTTACGTTTTCTTATGATAAAATTGTATTTTACCTTCGAGTCGACGTAAAAATGGTCCAAGTGAGAGCATTCAGCAGGTGCGCGATGACGTAGTATCCTACCATTGTTTAAGTTAACGATGTTCTATTTTATATGATTATTAATGTTTTCAACTGATAATTGTTCATAATTTATATATATTATTGCATATTAATCAAGTATTTATAAAAAATAATTACCTTACCAACTACGTAGATATTGGAATAAGAAATTGAGTTTATTTACCGAAACACGACAAATTTGTTGAAAAACACATACATCTTAAAGCTAATATTTTTCAAGGTAACCTACATGAAATTACTATGTCATTGTTATGCAAGCAATGCTAACATTTCTAAATGACTTTGCATGGATAACTAAGACCTAGTGTATGCAAGTTAACCAGTTTTACTTCGGCTGAGTATCTTTTTTTCAAAGATACTTCTTGTTTCAATTATTTGAAACCAATCAAAAGCCCAATATAGTTTTAATCACTTATTATTTTATTTATGTTTTCAAATCTAAAACAAGGTCAATTTTGTTGCTTTGAACTAAATCAATTACTACTGAAAAAAGTTCTTTACCTTGGACATTTTCATAAAAGTCATGCTGCCCTCTGTTAGTTTGATCTGCAAGGATTCCATGGGTCCCTGAAATGAAATAAAACACTTGATTTCCATATTCATTTATATCCATGTATTAAATTCTCAGAACACTTAGTGTTTTAATAGTTTTTGTTTAAAGTATAACATAAACTGTAGGCAAGAGGTGTGTTCAAAAAGTACATCTACATGTCTTTATCATTTTATTTATTGTTTTTTGGAGTCTCATCTATACATATAAACATATTATTAACAAGAGCCATGTTAGCATGGTCATCCCCCGCCTAATGTGTTTGCTGATTTGAAGAATGTATATGTAGTAGAGCAGAATAATTCAACTTAAAGAGGTCTTTTGTAATGAAAACTGATGGCTGATTTGAAACCAATGTGAATACTGATGGCTGAAACTAACAAAGGAAATAACTGCAAAATAATGCAAGGTAGGTTATCATTCTCGAGTGGTGCACTCCTCCTCAATGAGATCTATCCACCTATGAAGTTTCAAGTTGATACCTCTGAAACTTTTTGAGATAAGCTACGGACAAAAAGTATTAAAATTAACAAAGGACAATAACTCAAAAATTATAAAGGGTAGAATTATCATTCTTGCACACAGCATTCCTCTTCAATAAGATCTATCCACCTATGAAGTTTCATGTTAACATCTCAAAGACTTTTTGAGTTATGCTCCACTCAGGTGAAAAATTAAGTATGAAAAATAACAAAGGGCAATCACTCAAAACTTATGAATGGTAGAGTTATAATTATTGTGCACTGTACACCTCCTGAGTGAGATATATCCACCAATGAAGTTTCATGTTGATATCTCAAAGCCTTTTTATGTTATACTCTGGACAAAAATTAAGTTTCAAAAATAACAAAGGGCAATAACTGACAAATTATACGGGGTAGAGTTATCATTCTTGTGCACTGTACTCCTCCTCAATATGATTTATCCATCTATAAAGTTTCAAGTTTAAACCTCAAATACTTTTTGAGATATGCTCCGGACAAAAATGTCGGACGAAAGGACGGGCGGACGATTGGATGGACAGACGGACGGAAGCACAGACGGACGGAGATCGTTTCTATATAAAGTACACACTGCAAAATTAAAATACATGTATAGCCATTCTAAAATAGAACCACAGTTGACGATTTATTTTACTTCTAAGAGTGACAAATCTCTACACCACAAAACAGGAGAATTGTATGCACTGCAGATTTGTCTCCCTTAGTTGCACACATTTCTTACACAACAAGATATATTTGTATTTCCCTTTTATATACATAATGATAAGATACAGGTAAATTAAATAGAAGTATCTTTGCTTATCATATTAAAAACTTAAAAACATATGTAGAAGAATTGAGATATAATAAAAAGCCAAAATGTCTCGCAGTCTAAAACATGGGTGTAAAATAATGGTGTGTGACTGATAAGAACAGAGCAAATTAAGATTAACAAGAAAACTTCAGGTATGTATAAAAACATTGCATATATAATTAAAACAATATACAACAAGGCTACTATAAACATTAGGACAATATATCACATGTACAAGACAGGGTTTTTTCTGATTACTAATGATATAAAACAAGTTTTCTTTTATTTAAGATGTTACAGCAGGTTATGGCACCTACTATTGCTATGCCTGCAATCCAACCTTATCAATATCGGTTAAATGATCAAGACACCATTACAAAGTCTGTTTACCGATTGGAGTAATTGTAATCCAATTGAATCATAAAGAGGGCATTGTAACAATTCATGTGCTTCTTCCCCAACTATATTCTAACAATGGAAGCAGGTTCTTTGTTCTACTAGAAGTCCGTTATATCTTCCTATAGTATGTCCCATTAAAAAATTAAAAATACCCATTGCACTTCTAAAGTTTGCCAAGGAACCTCTGTAAGATCTATTATAGACAGCTCTAACATAATGTCCTGCATGTAAGGATTTTTGTGTGTCTGAACCTGACTTGATGTATCTCATTTCATATCAGTTATCCATTTTTGAACATAGTCATCATAATTTTTTTTTGTGGAAGCAGATTTTAGGTATACATTCTTTCGAATAAGGTGTATCAATCTTGCAAAATCTATCATATTGTCTAAACGTCTGACTGACCTTAAAAATTCCAATTATTACATCTTTTATTTGACACATGCATTTTTTATTCAGTATGTTTGAATTCATTAAAGTGTATCTACAACAATTTGTCAAAGCAGTTTTCCATAATGAGTACGTAATAGTTTTCCAACCAATATCTCCAGAAGTTGCTGCATTTTGAGTATATCTCCCGACATTTAAATAATAACGAGCAGCCCTATTTCGTACTGCATTTATAGAAACAAGAAAAACATTCATAGCCCCAAATAGCCGAGGCAAATGTATTTACGGGCCAAACAGTAGCCTCATACATTTTGTAAAAAGGTTCATATAAGATGCCTCCAAATGATTTTATTATTGAAATCAATATTGGCAGACTTTGATACTGTTTCAGCAATCATGGCATGGTATAAATAATCGGTTTAAACAAGTCTCAGATACTTATACTGTTAAACATATTTCAATGATACATCACTAATATTAAAAATAAATTCGGTTTAAGAAACATTTAAATTCTAAAGTGCACAATATTAAACAGGATTGGCATGTCGTAAGTTTTACACCACCGTAAATCAAGTATATGTTTTGTAGTTATTTTTGTAAAATTTATTGAAAACAATATGAATATGTCTAATAAAGTACTGAACAAGCTTGCCTGATCCGGGTGCATCAGAAATGTTCTGTGGAGATGCAAAACTGCTCAAATGTCTTCCTGAAATTAAAAGTTATTTTCAAATATATATTTCAACAGATGGTCATATAGGTACCTTAACCGTTGAATTCAAAAAATGTTTTAACAAAACTTTTAAACAAAATAATGCGTTTATTTATTTTTTTTAATTTCATATACCTATAGACTCTTTCAATTAAATGAAATATATGCATATTCTATTTGCCTCTGTAATCCTTAAATATCATGAACATATCATTTAATTTTGTATGTAACTATGTTTATACTACATGTATTAGTTTTAAAGATATTGAAATTCTAAATTGAATAATACATAAAAAATATAATTGATGTAACGTATTTAACTATAAGATGATACAACTGATGATGCATCAAAGACGAATTCTCTTTATATCAGGACTTTTTACAACGTATTCCCCTATTGACTTTTTCGCTGATAAACTATCTTAACACATAAACCACGAACGCTTTGTTCTAATATTACAGTAATATTACAGTTAATATTACATATTACAGTAACACTAGTGTTATACCTATGCACATGAGGTAACTATTATCTCAAATACACTGTCAACAAAATAAACAATCTTGGCTGACTGTCTGCTATAAGACTGACTAAGTTCTGTTCAAATCACTTCTGAATGAAATTATAACAACAATTACACTGTCACCGAAAGATAAAAATCCAGTCATGCAAAGCTTACCAAAGTAAAGTGAAACGCATTTTATTGGCATTCCAAGCCTTTTTGAAAGTTTTTGGCCGTTCAATCATGAATCCAACATATTTTTTCAAAAAATGTTTTAAAAAGCTTCATCAATTGATATGATGAATAACAAAAATGACTTTAAAAAGGAAACTCTTAACATGTGAATTGTACGAATGATCACCAAACATACGAAATACTTTTCAATCTTTATGCCATGTTTTTTTTCCAATCTAATAAAAGTGGAAACGATATATTATAATAAATATGTAAAAAGATAAGTTTACTTCTGATGAAGTATGTTGTTAGGAAAAATAAATTATTGTAATAAATATCTCAAACAATGTTTATAAAAAATACTTGCACGAGATGACTTTTTCTGAAATCTACCAACCATCCATTGGCTTAAAACGTAAATCAAAAGTCTAAAATTATTATTACATGTATTACCAAAAATTATCTTACCTGACATCCTAAGTTAATCAAGTAAGTGCCAAGAAATAATTAAATGAAATTATAACAATAATCTTTTGAAGAAACTAGGTTCTATCTATCTCCACTTGTTGATGGTATAGCGTGATTAGATTTGTAGGTCATTTGTGCGACAAAGTTTACGTAATTTAAAACAATTAACAATTGGAAAATGATCTTCTCAGACCGAGATAATGAATGAACTAAAACGCATCACTTATGATTTGAAGCAAAACTAAATAACTCACAAAGGCACGTCACGGATATAAACTTCATATTTTAATGATATGACTCATATATACGGAATATTATGTTGAAGTGGCTTTTTGAGGCTTTGTATTTTGCTACGAGCAGCGGTGGAAAATTGATATTGGAGCGAGATATAAATTTTCCAACGTTACGAGTAGTAAAATACATAGCCTCAAAAGCTACTACAACATAATTTTCCTTTTATTATGTACCTTTTCGTTTTATTCAGAAAATGAAATGTAGTTGTCAAAAAAATAAATTCTTGCAAAACCGGCCACGCCCTTAATAATTTTGGTTCCCGTTTCCAAATGCAACGTTATACAAAGCTAAGAGCGGAACCAACGTCAAAATAGTCCGACACTTCCATATATGGTACCGTATTTGTCACTAACATAATACGGAAATTTCTATCCGTTGAAGCGTATTTGCGCTTTCCTTGTATTTTAGGGAGAAAATGTATAGGTATATAATAAAGATTTGTATGTAGGCTTAACAAAATAACATGTTTTGATTAGGTATTAGTGAGAATAAGGTTTAAGGTCTCAACAGACGATATACATGTATCTAGTTGTACAAAACTAATTAAAGATATGATGTACAATTTTAATAGTAATACAACTCTTGCATTTAGACCGTAATTTAACATTGTATGAATCATCAGGTTTCCATCCAAAACAATTCCCTCCAAATGGATTCCTTACAGAATTTACTCAATATTATTACTGGAATTTATGTAAATGTCATAACTGATGGTATTGACCAATTAAGAAGATTATTCAAGAGGCAGACCGTGGATAGCATGGAGGGAGCATTCAAATAACCATGTTTTGGAATGAATAAATAACTGAGCACCCTAAAGCCTGTTCTGTATTTTGGTCTCACGGTGAAAAATATTTTTTCTTCATGAATAATGATTGAAACTTCCCCATTTAAAAAGACAATAAGTTTGTAATTGTCAAATGGTAAGAATTATTATTATTTTCAATTTCTAACTTTACTTCGCACGAATAATGAATTACTTACCTAATTCAAGTAAAATTCAGTATATTCTTTCTCCGGAATTTATCAGAAACAAACATATGATTAACATAATTGGGCAGTCTTATATATTTCTCAACATGTATATACATGTATTTTACATTAAACGTTTATATTATCAAGAAGTGGTCAATCACCATAATAATAGAACCTTTTATGAAGATGTCGCTACCCAAGCTAACAAATGGTCCCTTAAAGTCATTTTTTTAAATATCTATTTCCTCTGCTAAAATAGTCATACAAAATTTAATTTCAAAGTATATGCCGAGAAAATCAATACATGTATTTCCTGTACACTGATTTTTACTAGCAGGTACTAGAGTACGAGCACTTACCAATATAACAACATGTTCATGGCGATACATTTGTACATGTAATATGATAATTTTCATGGTTATACTGAAAAGAAAGTGTCATTTTCATATCTGAATATTGAATTTAACTTTAGCCTGTGTAAATGGGACGTGAAGTGGTAGATTCAAGTGGTAGTAAAGCCATTGTCGTTCATGACACGGTTGTTTAAATCGTGCCTATAACATTAACATAACAGATTTTGCCAAGTTGTTAAAAAAAATATTTTTCTGCCAAACTACGTGTAGTCCTTTAGCTTGGTAAGAAAATTTTCTATACTAATGACAGGCGATAATGACGTACTGTTAGTCAACATAAAACGTTATATATACATGTTATAGAAGTATGCGTCTACTGTTAAAATATGTCTAAGAAAAATATTGTTTTGTAACATTTGATGATAATATTCTTATTTTACAAGTTAAAATGCAAGTTATCAATTATAAAGTATACATGACATCAAAATGAAAACGTTTTGTCTAGCTATAAACAGGGCATAGTTGGTTTGCAGAACAGTCTTGTTACTTATTAAGCATTGGTCCAGAAAACAATAAGAAATAGATAATTGTTTGTATTAAGTTTGTGCTATTAATTTAATTTGTATTTGACAAGCTTACCTAATTCGAGTGCTTCAGAAGCTGTCACACTATCCGCTTACCCTCCTGTAACTAAAAGATATTATTATGATTTTAATTATAATCCAGTTATGTTTTCTTTCTTGATATCCATAATTTTTATAAAAATGAATATAAAATATTAAAAAGGGTTTATGACAAATAAGACTAATGGGTGTGTACATTTTTCAATATTTTAGCTATCCATTTGTCACGTTCGACAACAAAATACCAATGCTATCTGTTCCTGTTATGTGTTTGTAACTTTTTATGTACTCTTTTAAAACCGAATAAACATGTCGAATTTAAGGGTCATCATGTCTAAATACCGGACCGTCACCCTGAATGAACAAAGCTAATACTATATTACATTGAAAACCTTAGACGCTACCGAAGCAGTAGTTTTTGAAAAGCGCACGAAAATGTTATATACAATGCGGTGTTACAGCTGCTATGTAATAGTTAAAGTACATGAAACGAGTTAGTTACGAGGATATAAA